ATGTGAGGACATAGCACCGAAGCACCATGTACAGAGCAGAGGAAGAGCCCTCACCAGACACCAAATCTGTCAGCACCTTGATCTTGGACTTCTCAGTCTCCAGAACCAGGAGAAACAAATTTCTATTATTTATAAATTACCCGTAACTCCACAGTATTTTAGTATAGTAGCCAAACAGACTAAGACATCAGAAAGGACTCAGGAGGTGGTAGCAGTAGAGATACTTCTGAATGTGGCAGTGCAGAGTAGGGAACTGAAAACAGAAAACCCGATTTAAAGTTTTTAAAAGGAGCAGTTAAACCTCATCATGCATGGTCAGGCATGATGATGAGATCCCTGGCAGAAGATGAAGGAAATGTGGACTTGCTAAATGGTGATAGTCTCCTGTCTGTGCCAACAACCAGAAAGCTGGTGGCCAACTTAAGCCATTCCTAACTCCAAAACAAAAACACAAACAGGAAACAAGCATATTCCAGTTAAACTGATATAAGCTACAAAGACTCCTCCAACAACATGGCCAGGTCCTTTCTTGATCATGGTACTGTGAAGCCCAACAGCCCTCAACCCCTGCCCAGGTGCACAGAGCTTCTGATCTGCTTCCTAGACTCATTCTTAAATATGAACAAAGAGCCAAAGATCACTGGCATTTGAGGAGAACCTCCGAAATAAAAGAGGGATACCAATATAAATAGAAAAAGAAACCCAGAGTAAACAGAGACAGGCAGGGATAGAAAAGAAGCAATATAGCAAAGAATGAAGAAAGATCATAAATTCATGAAATAAATACTGGATGTTGTATTTTTAAAAAAAAAAAAGGTTTTTAATAGCAGCATAAGTTCAATGTTTTGAAATTAAAAACAAGAAAGCAGAAAGTAAGAGTTCAATCAAAAGACTAAACGATTAAAAATTGTGGAAATCTACTAGAAAGTAGAAGAGAACAGAAAGAAGAAAGTGGGAGTTACCGAAAGAAGGGGAAAAAATGAAAATACAAAATTTATCAATGAAATAATGTGAGAAATACAAGAAAATTTCTGGTAAATAAAAGACACAATTATCTTGACTGAAAAATCCTACCAAGTGCCCAGCATATAGTGCAGAAACAATCCCACCAAGGCACATGGTTGTAACACTTCAAAACAACAGCAGTAAAGAAAACACTGTAAAAGGTTCCAGAAAGGAAAAAAGAGAAAAGACACACAGAGGGGGTTGAGAAGCAGAATGGCGCTAGATCTTTCAACCGCAACGCTGGAAGCTGGAAGCAATGTAATCATGATGTCAAACATCAAACGACATCAAGAATACTTCTAACCCAGACAGCTACTCCATGCTAACTCCAATCAAGTGTGAAGTATAATAAAGACACTTACAGACACCTAGGCATCCAAGCATGTAGCCCTCACTTGCCCCTTTTCACAGGAAGTTCCCGGAACATGAACTGTAGAAGCAAATAAACCAAGAAATTCCCTGAGATGAGGGAGCAACTCAAAAAAGAGGATGGCACGCATCCCGGAAACATTCAATCTAATACAGAAGACAAACGAGGGGACTTCCACAGCATCCAGGAAACATCCGATCTAACACAGGAGACAAATGAGGGGACTTCCCAGGCGTGAGGTCCAAGGAGCTGCAGGAAGAGGCTGTAAGAGAGGCCTGGAGAGCAGAAAGGAAAAGCAACCTCCACAGGGAAAAAGAAAGGATGAGGAGGATCAAGGGAGGGAAGACAACCTGATGCAGGCGAATGTCCTAAGAGAAGATCTGTCATATGTCTGAGAGTTTGGAAATTAATTACTGACAGATAAAAAATTCAATTAACAAAAATGCATTAACTCCAGGAAAATACAAAACATTGTTTAATAAGTGAGACAAAATATAATCTCAGCTGGAAACAATAGTTGCAGTTGTAATAATAAAAATACTGAGTATTAATTTAAATGAAAATGAATTTAAGTAGACTCCAGGGGAATGAGGCATGAGAAATTACTGTACACGATTTGGGTGACAGTTACACTAAAAGCCCAGACTCCACCACTAAGCAATATATCCAAGAAACAAAACTGTACTTGTACCCCTTAAATCTAAACAGATTTTTAAAATTAATTTAAGTACACTGTGATAAGAGAGTGAAATCATAAGAAAGAGAGCAATAAGAAAACTGGCCTCGTCCAGGCTCTGTGGCTCACACCTGTAATCCCAGCACTTTGGGAGGCCAAGGTGGGCAGATCACCTGAGGTCAGGAGTTCGAGACTACCCTGACCAACATGGTGAAACCCCATCTCTACTAAAAATACAAAAAAAAGTTAGCTGGGTGTGGTGGCAGGTGCCTGTAATCCCAGCTACTTAGGAGGCTGAGGCAAGAGAATCAATTGAACCCAGGAGGCAGAGATTGCAGTGAGTCAAGATTGCACAGTTGCACTCCAGCCTGGGTGAGAGAGCGAGACTCTGTCTCAAAAAAAAAAAAAAGAAAGAAAGAAAGAAGGAAAATTGGCCTCATCTTCCATAGTAGAGAGTTCACATATAGCTCACATATCAAAGCATAACAGCATTATTATATTCTTACATTCTTGGAGGTAACCACAAAAGAAACAGCTAGAAAGTTTCAAAGTAGTTGTCACTAGGGAACAGCAACCATAGGTGGGGAAGAGCAGGGTATAACCACAGGCAGAAAGCGTATTATTCAACTTTTTTTTTTTTTGAGACACAGTTTTGCTTTTGTCACCCAGGCTGGAGTGCAGTGGCGCAATCTCGGCTCACTGCAACCTCTGCCTTCCAGGTTCAAGCGATTCTCCTGCCTCAGCCCCGCAAGCAGCCTTTTTAAATTATTTTTTATTTTTTTATTCTTTTTTGTATTTTTAGTAGAGGTGGGGTTTCACCATGTTGGTCAGGGTGGTGTCGAACTCCTGACCTCCAGTGATCTGCCCACCTAAGCCTCCTAAAGTGCTGGGATTACAGGTGTGAGCCATCACACCCGGCCTATTCAACTATTTTGTTTATATTCTATCTCAATAAAGATAAAATATTATTTAAATAAGTGAATGACAGGGTATTTAGAGCTTACAAACGATTCCTCTGAGGAGCTTAAATATCCTAGGGGAAAAAACAACTACTCAAGACATGGTATTTTGGTTACTTTTCTTGAGTTTGCAGAAATATTGGAAGGGAAGGAACAATAAGGAGGAAATTATTATCATGACAGAGAGGAGAAGGGGAATCTGAGGTAGGAAGGTCTCCAGGGAGGCAGGAAAATGGGCTCTGGATCATGAGTGTCCAAATAAGGCCTAGACAGAAATGCAGACAGTTCTTCTTCAGCGGACAGGGGTGAAAGGAGGAAGAGAAAAGCACAAAATGCTAAGTGAGGAAGAAACACACTTCATGGTGAGAGGGCCCAGATGTTGGTCCACAGTCTCTGTTTTAGAGTGAGGCAGAAGATTAAAGAAAATTGTGAGTGTTTGAGAAGGTAGCAGAAGAAAATCGTAAATTCAACTTGCTGAAGTGAATTTGATCTCAGAGCAAGACTAGTCACATACAGATGCAGTGGGGTATATGTGTTTAGTCATTCCTCTCTGCTCCCACAACCCTTTGTAACACTTGCTACATCATGTGTACACTAACACTTTAAAGAACTGGGTTTTCACTACGCTACGAATCCTCAAGAACTGTCTTACCCATTTATATGCAACCAATATTCATCATGGCACCTGACATGAAATGTATTTTTGTTTTGTAGATACATAAACATTCATTTCCAGAAGGTCAAAGCATCTCAACATATCCACACATATGTACTTCTTTAAATTGCTTTTTATATGCCAGAACAGCCAGCATTCAATAATTTTACAATATCCTTTCAAAAAACTACGTAATGTCCCATCAAAGCTAAAAGCACACCCACAAAAAAATTGTAATTCAAGTTGAAATTTACATCTTAAACTGACTCTAAGTACATATAAAGCCCAGAAACTCTTTTGGGCAATGCTCACATGCTGACTAAACTCACAACAGCAAGGGAGACGACATGAATCTATGACTATCTCATGGATTCTAAATTAAAGCTTAGAAACATTTACAATGAATAAAATAAATCCATAGTTGGATATCAACAGCTGCCTTGATTAATAACAAACCTAAAGATTTTATGGTTTGAGGCATCAACTTTATCGACTTGGAATTAATGTTTGAGCACAGTCTCTATTTATCAAGTACATCCTAATATTTCAACATACTTTATTTTTTCCCAAAAGAAAAAGATAGTTATTATTCACTATGAAATGCATGCTATTAATGCTACATTTTTTAAAAATCTGATTTCCTCTTTCCTACAATAAAGCCAAAAACTGATTTCCTTGTTAATTGCCGAACACCTTTTCCACAGAACATTTCAGATCCATCTCAAATAGGTTTGCAAGGGGTAGGGGAGGTTTCATGGGATGGAACTTAAATAAATAAATAAATAAAAGCAAGAGGTTTGTTTACCACTTAAATCTCTGACTGAGTTTAAAGGGTTTTTTTTTTTTTACTGTTATTAGTTGAAATTATTTTCAGCAAATTAATACAGTAGAAAAAATTAACCTGAGAAGTTTACCTTGAATGCCACATTATGTCAATAAATCCTAATTTTTGGTTTCACAAAGTAGCAAAACAGAATTACGATTATCTAAGTGATTTAAGCTAACCAACAATGTTGGACAAAATGCAGATCAGTGCACCTGCATGTACCTGTCCTCATATTTCACAAGGTATAAGGTGATCAAACCAATGTTGTTCCAGTAACATCGTAAGAAGCAGAACAACCGACTGATAATCATCATAATTTCACCCTTTTATCCTTTCAAAATTGTTTCAGAAGGTAATTCCCAAAAATGCTTTATATTATAATATAAAAGTATCCTGAACATAGAGATACGTCAGTTGTACTTTTTAAATTGTGCAAGTTAAATCACAGTTCGATAACTCCATGCTGACTTCTAGTTTAAAAGACCACACAAACATATTTTCTAAAATACCTGATTTTGACTTCAGGATAACCTGAATGGTATGTCCATCATTGGTGACTTCACAGTCTCGGCAGACCACATAATTTGGGGAGAGGCGGACATCCAGCAGTGAGGGGTCATACCTAGCTTCTCTTGAGTTTAGGTTAATAGGAGACTGGTATTCCCCATTAGCATCAGGAAACACCAGACCCCACTCAACACCTAAGAACAAAATGAAATACATTAAAAACAGGTTAAAAAATAAGTTACAGTAAAATTTAACATGTAAAAACCAAACACTTAGAATCCTTGATATTATGAAGACAGTAATGATACCATCACTATACAGATGAAATATGGTAATTCTATGTGTTTTTGCATTCATTATTTGAATGATCTGATATTATCAAATACCATATACAAATTCCCGGACTAACAAAATATTCTATTTGTATTTGTCAACAAAGACATAATAATTTATGACTCTAGGAAATGTGGGTCATCTTTAAGTGATTAGAAAAAAAGAATACCAGAACAATTTCTTCTGCTTATTAGTTCAAAATTACATTCAGTATTTGGGAAATAGCTGTAACTTTAAACATACATTGTGACAGTCAAAAACCCTAACTCTCATGCTAGTAAATAGACGCCCCTTATCAGAAATGCAAGTGCAGTATTTTAAAGTGTGCATATGTATATATCTATGTACATATATATTCCCATACTCTTTCCAAATTTTTTATAATTAAAATTATATATTCTATATTGGTTTCAACATATGTAGTAAACATCAGCACTACTGGTTGGCTCTAATAGGAGCCCTAGGTCTTTAATAAATCTAGGAAACTCTGGTTTTTCAGAGAGTCAACCGCTTCTCGCCAAACCCAACGATTCAGTCTGAAATTTAGGACATACTTTAGAAAGACGAGCGTTGCTAGCAGGCTTCACGAAAAGACCAGAGGCAGAAACACTTTCTCCCCAAAGTCTTCAAGTCAAAAAAGAATTCTTAACACTAACACTGTCTTCCTCAGGTGTTAAGTAAAATGTACCGCTGCTCTTCTTGACTACTCAGAAGACATAAAAGGTACAGCCATGGCTTGGAGGCTAGCCCGCCCTCCGGACCGCAGCAGGTGCGAACGCCAGCCCTGCAGAAGGCTCCCGGGCCACAGCGAAGGCGGCGGGAGAACGCAGGCGGCGAGCACGCCTCCCTGGAACGCCTCCCGCCCGAAACGCGCCAGGGGAGTGGGAAAGTGGCGGAGACCCCCGTGGGAAAGAGGGGACGTGGAGGTGCTCGGAGCGCGCGGCAGCAGCAGGACTCGAGTCCCGCGCTCGGCGAGACACTGACGCCGCCGCGGGACCCTGGACACCCCGACTCGTGGCCGCTTACCTTCCTCGTAGCCCCACTCCACACCCTCCTCCTCTTCCTCCTCATCCTCTTCCTTCTCGGGGAAGGCGACCGTATCTTCGATGAAGCTTAGGTCCGCCATGGGAAGGCCGTGGGGCCCCTTGGCGCTCTCGGCGGCGGTGCCTGCGCCTTCGCGGGGCTCGGGGCTGGAGCGGGAGTGGAGCGCGCGTGGGGGAGTGTGAGCGCGCGTGAGCGGCAATGTGGGTGCAAGCGCGCCTGCGGGTATGAACTGCAGTGTGAGTGCAAGCGGGCTTACGTTCGGCCCGAGTGTTCCAGAGACCTGCGCGGGGAGCGCGTCCGGAGGCCCCAGCGGAACAAGGGAGCCGCGGTGGCCTGGGGAGCGAGCGCCCGGCGAATTTTATACCCGGCCGGGGCGTGTCTGGCACGCGAGGATCCGCCCCCTTCTCTCTTTGGCCGCGGGGGCCAGGGAGCCGACAGTTAGTATGGGCCTTGGGCGACCAGTCCCAAGTCACGGAAATGTCGACGCATCCCCGTCCGCCGTTCCCCCGGGATCGCCCCTGGTGCTTCCTCGCAGCGGAGACTCCTGCTCTGCCTCCCGCGCCTTCCTTCCAGAAGCCCGCAAGTCTCCCAAGGTCAGCCCTCAGGACCCCTGTGTGCCTGGCCTGGCCCAGAGGCTGCTCACCTATTTATTTTCATCCGTACTCCAGGATACCAAAAAGAAGGGGTCCTGGAGGAGAGAGATGGGCTGCCATGGGTAGGAGAAAGGAGAGAAAAGAGGCTCTCCAGCGGAATCTTAGTATTTTCTGAGTGTTTACTTTTTAAATCGTCCGTTCAGCATAGTGGAAACGAGTATGGAAATTTTTCCAAGTAAGTTCTATTAATTCCTAAAAACGTTTAAGGAAAGAAAATAGTTGTAATCTAGAGAAGTAAGATATGATTTAGAGATTTCCTTTTTTTTTTTTTTCCCCCTCCAGAAAAAGGTATTATTTCAAAGGCAGGGCTAGCAGAAGGCAGTAGACACAGGGTGTTCGGTGTCAGAGTCTGGGGCGCTGCTGCAGGCTCACCTGGCTGTGTACACAGCTCCCAGTCACCTAGTGAAATTGTGTAAATAATGAAGTGCACACATTTCATAACAAACAGGAACTCTTCTGATCCAAAGAGGTGGCGTTGTTACTCTTAAACGTGCTTCCCAGTCTAGTGACTTCAGCCCTCTGTTCCTGCGCCTTTTGGAAGCCCTGGTCAGTAACCCCTAAGTAAGTTAACTCCACATTTTTAGAAGATATATGTGCACAATAAACTCGGGTTAGGACCTTAAGTACAATTTGTTTTTTATATGCTCTGGTCATTCATGAAGATGACTATTTGCAGTTTGAATGGCCTGTTCCTAAATCACACCAACCTTATGAATGCATGATTCCTCAAATAAGGATGGAAATGATCTGTTTGGGAATGTTTAGGTTCTGTGCTCATATCCTTTACTGCCTGCTAAGCACCTCCACTTTTTAAAAAGACACCTCATAGCCTTTAAAAAAAAAAAAAAAAAAAAAGCTATTACAGACTGCTCCATAAAGTACACTGAGATGGAAAGAAGTTAGGGGAACCCTCAACTCACTCAATTCTGCCACTTTCTGGAAGGTTTAACCAAATAGATGGAAAGCTACTGGCCAACATTAGCTTGGAGGATAACCCGTGGATTTTAAGCATTCATATAATTTCTCTTTTCCTTAACTGTGCAAAGTACTGAACCAGTGTGAGAAACTAAATTCATTCTTGACTCACTGCATTCTGGGTGTTCTTTAGTGGACACTCGTTTGCATCTTTGCAAGCCTGGGCCTGGCAGAAGCAGAAACCTACCCCAAAGCCAGAGCTATTAAAAATAATAAGCACTACCGAAAATATTAACTACTTTTCACTGCAGGTCTCCTAAAAGGAACATTTATTTTTCCTTTCTTGAAAACTTTTTTGTAATCTTCTATTTGTTTTAAGTTTCTTTTTAGAAGTACGTTCACATGTTAATCAAATGCCACAGCTAAGGAAGCCCATACAAAGGCTATGAAGGACTTGGATAATAAAAGCACTGCCACTCTGAGCTCATCAGCAATGGCCTTTCTCCTCTGTCCCCCAAATGTGCCTAAGTGTGACACTGTAGCCATTGTGTGACCACCAACTGTGTTTAAAGTTTCAGGTGAATCATAGAGATGTTTATCAAACCAGAGGATGGTACAATCACCATGGTAAAAACTGAATTTTCCGTGAATCAATAGTGTGCCATATTTACAAAAGATAGGCTGAATGATTGAATTGTTAGTGTTTACTTTACAGTAAAAAGACAATTTTGCATATAACCAGCAATGTATTACTATTCAAATATGCAGTTGACTACTAGACAAACATACACTGGCCTATATTTGCTCTTTCTGAATTGTTCAGGATTATTTGTAGAATGTAACTCCTGTATGCAAGCCTAGGGTTCCCTGTACAGTCACATATGAGCCAATCCTCTGAGCATCCAAATATTCAATTAATAGCCTTAATTGCTTTGAGACTATGAGGTTCAGATTTTTGCTAATTAACAGCACCTTAAGACCTTCTCCTCTCAGGTCCCTGCACTATATTACCACCAAAGATGGAATTTCTATTTCTAGTTATTATAAGGTGTCTGTCACTAAAAAAAAAATCTAGACACACAGATCAAAGATATAGGCCAATTCTTTGTTTTACAAAATAGAACAAGCAAGTCTAAATCCAATATCAGAGAATCTAAAAATATTCATACTCTGTATTATGAAGGTAAGTCCTCCATATAGTCCTGTATGATTTTTAATAGGCTTTCAGCCTAATATTATATTTGATCCCTTAAATTAACTTTATATTGCTCACTTTTAGTGCTTGCATAACTAAGGCCAAACCATATTAGTAGAACAATTTATTAAAACTAAGACCTATATAACTAACTACCATTTGATACTAAGAGAATATAAATGGAAATATCTAAAAAGGACAAACTAATCTAGATGTCAGAGGAACCGAAGTACTAAGGTCGCATCCCAGAGTCCGGAACCTAGACAGCCCTCTCCTATCTTTCCTCACGGCTTGTCTACTGTACCAAAGCTTTCTTATTGTATCAGTGAGTCTAGGCCCTAGAGTCATAAATATGACCTCCTCTCATGTGCACCTTATGCTCTGGGATCACCTCAAGGGTACAACTAACATATGCTTGTCACGTGGCTCCTATACAAACTGTAATTCATAAACTTCAACAGCAATGAATTGGGTTCCTTCATGTGCCCTGTTCTGCACTAGGCACTGTGGGAGAACCAAAAATAAAAATGAAAGACTTCCTCTGCTCTCAAGGAACTCATGGTTCTCTGGGGGGAGGAGAGGAGTAAATAACTATAATACAAGGCAATATGCAATATTAATGTGTTAAATAGAAATGCAGGTACCACTACATCTAAGGAAGATGGAATTTTCATACTAATGGGAATGATTTAGAAAAGTTTCTTGGACAAGATGGCATTTGGGGCAAACTAGAGGAAATGGGTAGAGTTTGGGTGGGCAGTATGTGAGCAAATAACATTCCAGGTGTGAATAATGATGCTGAATCATGCAAGTGCTCATTGCGGATCTATTTGTTTCCTTAAATACCATCTGTGACTGCCAAAACCAATTCGGGTACACTAAAAATATGACTTCTCTAGGCTTACGTCTCAAGTAAGGCACTTTTTCCTATGGTTGTTTTAATTCCTTATGTCTAGTTTTTCTTCTGTCACAAAAGACAGCAAAATTTTCTTCATTATATATATTTTGATTTCTGAAGGTTTCAAACTTTGTTGATAAAAAATTTAATTCTTCCTTTTAAATTACCTTTTTCAACGGATTCATCTTTTATTTCACCTGCTTAAAGTTACATTTACAAGCCTCCTTTTTGTTTGACCTCTTCTTGGTCTTTTATATTCAGAAACAAACCACTAGGGCTCCATGTAGTCATTGGAGATGACATCATTGTCTCTATCATTTGCTGCCCTTTCACTGCTTGACCATGTGACTTCTCTGACCAATTAAATATGAGTAGAGGTGGCATGCGCCATTTCCTAGAAGAAAGATTTAGGCATTATCAAAAGCAGACGTAGTAGCCCATCAGGTAAAGGTAAGTTCAAGGGTAATTTTTATTTGCTCAAATGCTGTGTTTGCCTTTATCTTTTTCTTCAAAGAAAAAAAAAAGGACCTCTCTGGCCTGCAAAGAAACCAAACAGTCTAGTACCGAGGGTGCCCTTATCTTCACCTCGCAAATTTCTTAGATGCCCTAGGGCCCTGACAACTTCATGGCAGAATTTCTTATCCCTAGAAAATCCCCATCGTCTCTAAGAAACATGGACCACAGCTCTCTTCCCCTCTCTCAGACCATGCCAGTTATGCCTGAGGCCCTACATCAATTCAGCACCAAAATGACTTATGCTGATATAGGAATGTTTAAGATAATGACATTGGTAACTTCTAAGTCACCAAAAGCTCTAGGGCACCTTCTGCCAAACAAAACCCCTTATGTGTTTAAGCCACAGAGGTTAAAGTTACCTCTTCTTAGTGCTTTCATGATGCCCTGTATAGATCTCTAAACCTGAAATTAAGATTATATTTTAAATATGTATTTTATGACCTTTTCCTCTAAACAATGAACTCCCAAAGAACAAGGCACTAGGCACTGCGTGACAACCGAAAAAAATAAAGAGTAAAATACTGCTTCTGCTCTCAAGAAATTCACAGTTCTCTGCGGGAGGAGGAGTAAATAATTTTAATTATTATGACTATAATACAAGTAAATAATTATAACTATAATACAAGTAAATAATGATAATGCAAGAAGTATGTTAAATAGAAATGCAGGTACCACTACATTTAAGGAAGATGGGATTTTCATACTAATGTGAATGATTCAGAAAAGTTTCTTGGAAAAGATGGCATTTGAGGCAAACTAAAGGAAATGGGTAGAGTTTCAGTGGGTGGCATGTGAACAAATAATATTCCAGGTGTGAACAACAATGCTGCTTTGTGTGCCCCCATATAGCACATGGTAGGCACTTAGGAATTTGTTTCCCTGTGCCATCAACCATACAGTGACCTGATTAGCCTGGATAAATATATTAGTGCAATAAAAATTGTGGTCACTAAGGTGGAAGCTTTCAAGGCACAGTAGAACTACAAAAAAGGGGAGTGATCAAGTTTACCTCATGGCAGATGTGTCAATAGGGGCTTCATAAAGGAAGTGACATGGAAGCTGGGCCTTGGAAGATAAATAAGTGCTGCTTTACCCTCAGAAAGGGAAGGGGAGGAGGTAAAAAAACACATTCCTCAAAGCATGATGTAGACTGATAAGAAGAAAGAAGGAAAAAAA